GTGGAAGGTCTTCGCGGCCACGCTCTGCAGCGCCTGCTCGAGGAACGAGCTGTCGTGGGCCAACCTGTCACCATCGAAACTTTGGTCCGGCAGCTGGGACCGAGAAAAATTGACGATAATCATAAAGGCCCTCACCCCAAAGAAGTCGTCGAAAAATATGTCGTACCTCTGAATTCATGGAAGAGCCGGCCAGAGGGTCTCATCGTGGCCGGAGACGGAGTCTATGAAGAAATTGCACGTGAATTATGAGGCTGCCGATGGTCCCTGCTGCCTGTTGTGCAGCACCCGCGAGGCGGTGGAGCCGAGGCTCCCGTCGCCCCCGGGGGGGCCGGGCGCCGCCGCCCTGGGCCCGAGGGCCCCCAGGAGGGGCAGCGGCGCCGGCACGTGGGCCCATCAGGGAGCCTGCTCCGCGGCCCATGCCCGGGCTAGCGGCGGCCGCGGCCACCGCCGCCACCTCGGCCCCCCTCCGTCCGGCGGTGCTTGCGCCCAGGGAGCTCGTCATCGCCGTCTCCGTTCTTCCCGGCAAGCCAATCAACCAAGTACTTCACGAGCGGGCCGTCCTCAGTCTTGGCCGGAGCCACGGTGAGGTTGTCGTACTTGGTCTCATACGCTGCCGCGATGACGAGGGCATCACGAAACTCCTGCGGCGCTGCCATGGCCACCACGAGGTACCACACCCACGGGCGTGTCGGGTCCGCGTGCGGGTCCAGGTGCTTGGGCTTGAGGCGGAAGACTGACCGCTCGATGGCCGGGCCGTCCATGTTGTTGAGGTAGTCGAGAGCGGTCTTCACCCTCGCGTCGTGCTGGCTGCCGTCCCCCTTCTGCTTGTAGGTGTCCTTCATCGTGACCACCATGCGCGCGAAGAGGATCACACGCTGCGAGCACCCGGCGGGATGTGGAGACCCGTCCGACGGCTTGGCATCCCGCCACTCCTTCCGCTGCTTCACCACCTGGTCTTTGACTGCTGGGTCTTTGAGCACTACAGCGATCGTGGACCGATCCGCGAGCTCGGCGATCGCCCTGTCGTGTGCCACAAGCAACTGGGCCATCGCTCGCTGGACGCCTCCGGGGCGCGCCCCGGGCCTGGCCTGCAACGCCGGCGCCGGCTGACTGGCTCCCGCCGCCGCCGCTCCGTCGAGAAGCGCCTGCGCCATGACTACTGGCAGGAAGCGCTGTCCAACGAGCGTGCTGAGCCGAGGCTTCCGCTGGCGTAAGCATGTGTTTGTACTGACCAACTGGAATGCCACTCACAACGCAACGTTTACGGCATGCACCAGAATGAACACGCAAATGGAAAATGGATGGATATCGGAGGCCACAATGCTCACAACACAACGTCCATTGCATGACAGCGGCCGGACCGTATTGTTTCAACTGCGATGCCAAGATCCGTGCCCTCGCCTCCTGCACGGCTTGCTCCGGATGCGGGAGCCCAGGGGGAAGGGCAAGGGGAGGGGGGGAGGGGGGAGGGGGAGGGGGAGCGGAGGCAGAGGAGGAGGAGGAGGCAGCCGCAACAGCAGAGGGAGGAGGCGAGGGAGGAGGAGGGCCAAGGAGAGGGACAAGGTCAAGAATTTTGTCGTGTTGACCCTGCGCAACCGCCGCCTGTCCGGCAGGTGTCTGCCGCCCTGGTTGCCTCCGCTTTTGTTGCCGCGCCGTCAGAGTACGAGAGCTCTCTCCGACAGCCTTGCAACTGAGCCTCTGGTGTTGTTTCAAGCTTCGGCGCTGCACCTGCGTACCACAATTCGGACATGGGACAAGCTCGAGAGACTGTGCTGTGGCCGGGCGACGGGCCGGGCGAGGGGCGACATCCTCGTGAGCCACCACCGCCGCGGTGTCCGGCCGAGTGTTGCGAGGAATGCGTCTGCCCACGTCGTCAGCACGAAGCTCCCGACGCACGCGCAACTTTTCCTCCTCCTCCTCTGCGTTGCGCATGTGGTGAGAGTCTAACGAATCCACCTTGCGACGCCATGCTGTCCAGGCCCCGACCGCGCGCTGCCAAGCCTCCCGGCTCGCAGCCACCGTCTTCCAAGCGTGTTCGTCGTCGGCTGGGTGACCGCCTTCTCGCATAACCTGACGGAGAAGTTCCCGGCTCTGGCTCCGCCACGTCGTACCCTGCTTACTGGCGCGGGGCACGGAGCCTTCCGGAGCGAGCTGTCCGAAAGCGAGCTGGCGTTCCAAGCGGTCCGTGGGGTAACGACACAAGTGACCAAGGTAGCCAAGCTTGCGTTTACCGATGGCAGTCTCAACAGTGTCAATGCCGACCCGCTCGCGCAAGTCTTGCATTGTCAACTTTCCTTTCATGTCCATCATGGTAAACTTCTGGCTGAGGGCAATGCCCCGGACACAACGATTCATGAATGACTGATACATGCCCAATTCCTTCGTGGTGAATGGTCTCACCTCCGACCCGTAGAGTAGGGATGCCTCCACTGTCGCCCTGAGCACCTCGCCTTTTTGGCGTAAGGTTAGTCCCAGGCGCGGGAGTTGCCTGTAGACTTTGTACCAGATCTTATTGGCCTTCTTAATCCGCTCATTGGTACCTTTCAGGGTGTCACCGGTGGAGGACAGCCAACAACCGAGCAACTCTGCGTGTTCCGTAAACTGCAATTCCTCCGCGGGCTCCGAGGCAGGGTCTGGGCGGCCGCGGCGGGCAGGACCCTTGCCGCGTAACCTGCGTGCCTTGCCGGGCGCGGGGACCGGGGCTGGGGCAGAGGGCTGTGCCACGAGGGAGGAACGGTCTGCCGGCCCTTTGCCTCGAAGTCGTCGCCTACTCGGGATTGGGGGGTCGACCGCTCTCTTAAAGCGCACAAGCTGCCACTTGTCCGGGTGTACAACTTCGCACCAGTCCGACAGAATGCGCGTGACCAGGCGCTTGCGGTCCTGGACCGTCGAAACCCGTTCGAGTAGGGTCGTATCATCGGCAAAACACAGCATGCGCAACAGCACTTTCTCCCATTCTTCCTGCACGCGCTTGAAAGCATGCGCCTGCAGACCACCAATGGGAGCCTCGGGATGAGTGCGTACCTCCACCGCCGGTCCTCCTGCAGAGTCCATGTGGTTACAGTAATCCCGCAGGACGGCATTGTGAAAGAACAGGTACACTACGCAAGAAGATGGACAGCCTTCTCTCAAACCTTTCGCCAGTTGGTACCGCTCGCTAACCCCAAGCTGATTGCGGCACACATAGTGTGTGTCAGAGTGAATGTGTGTCAGCAAGTTCACAACATGAGCGGGCACGCCTTCGTTGCTGAGGATTCGCCAGGCCGCGTTCCGAGGAACGCTGGGATAGGCCTTCTGGATGTCCAGCAAAGCCACGCAGAGATCATCCAGGTCCTCGCTGCGAACCTTGGTGACCGTTTCGACTAGCAGCCGCGCCACGAGGACCACATCTATACAAGACCGGTGGGCTTGAAACCCCCACTGGTCGGCTCGAAAGATGTGGTGTTGGCGAGCATAATCGCTGAGTCAAACTGCTACGACGCGTGCAACCACTCTACTCACGATCGACAACAGACAGATACCACGATAGTTGGTCAGCTTGCTGCGGTCGCCCTTTTTGAACAGGGCTATCACTTCCGCTGCATGTGCCTCCTCCTCCCAACTATCTGGCGCCTGCCAGTACCGGCGTACAAGGTCAAAGAAACGCTGTTGCAGAGCAGGGGCCGCAAGGCGAAGCATATTTATCGTCACCTCGTCCGGGCCTGCAGCGCTTTCCTTCATTTTTCCACACCTTCTGTATCTCTGCACCGGAAGGAATATCCGCGAGAGACTCCTGGGTGGGGCGAGCAGCCGGGAGGCGTTCCAGCACTGACTCCGCGACAATCGATTCGTCCCGTCCGATGCTGTGGAAATGCTCCCGGAGCTGCTCTGGTGTGTGTTGAATCCGACCTTTCATTGTGCTGCCCGACATCGTAACGCCGAGTTCTCTCAAGCCTGCATAGAAACGGCCCTTGTCCCCCAGTGCCGTGGCGTGTTCTAGCTCACGCACAACGCTGTCAACCCATGCCCTGCGCCACGTCCGTCGCTTCCGACGGAAAGCCGCCTTCTCCTGGCGTAATTGTTCTCGTAACTGCACCTCCCGGCTGGCAGCAGGAGGAGAGGGAGGGGCAGCAGCAGCAGGGGGAGGGAAGAGCGGGGGAGGGGGAGGGGGAGAGGAGGAGACACCACAAGCTGGATCCGCCTGGTCAGAACTCGCGCGGGGGGACCGGCCCCCGGGGCCCGAGCGAGAAGCAACGCCACCAGCTGGATTCGACCGGTCAGAACGCCTCGCTCCGCCCCCCTGCGCTTTCCGGCACTGTTCGGCGAGTTGCCGCAGACGTTGTCGGGTGGCCATAACCTCATCCGCATGACCATCCATGTAAGGCACTCCAAGGTTCCGTCTCCCCCGGGGTGCAACAGACTCCATAGAGTCAACACACATGCGCACAACTTCCGGCCAACTACAGTCAATTGGTGCCTCCTGTGCCAAACGATCGGTCTCATTAGTAAGTAACGACGAGTAGCGGGTAGTGATTAGTGAGTAGCGAGTAGGGAGTAGCGAGTAGTGAGTAGTGAGTGCTGAGTAGGGAGTAGGGAGTAGTGAGCAGTGAGTAGTAAGAAGTGGGTAGCGAATAGTGGGTAGGAAGTAGCGATTGGTGAGTAGTGACTAGTGACTAGTGACTAGTGACTAGTGAGTTGTTACTAGTGACTGGAAAGTATGTAGTGATTAGTGAGTAGGGAGTAGTAAGTAGTGAGTAGTGAATAGTGAGTAGCGGGAAGTATGTAGCGAGTATTGAGTAGCGAGTATGGGAGTAGCGAGTAGCGAGTACTGAGTACTGTGTAGTCAGTATTGTGTAGGGGGTAGGGAGTAGCGAGTAGCGAGTAGTGGGTAGTGAGTAGTGATTTGTGGGCAATGAGTAGTTAGTAGTGAGTAGTGAGTAGTGGATAGTGGGTAGTGGGTAATGAGTAGTGGGTAGTGGGTACTGAGTAGTGATTATTGAGTAGTGAATAGGGAGTAGTGAGTAGTGCTTAGTGAGTAGTGAGTATTGAGTAGTGGGTAGTGAGGAGTGAGTAGTGAGTAGGGAGGAGGGAGTAGTGAGTAGGGAGTAGTGAGTAACCAGTAGTGGGTGGTGGGTAGTGAGTAGTGGATAGTGAGTAGTGAGTCGTGAGTAGCGAATAGCGAGTAGTGAGTAGGGGGTAGTGAGTAGGGGGCTGGGGTTAGTGGTTAGGGGGTAGGGGGCCCCTCGTGACTCCCTTTGGGGCTGGGGTTAGTGGTTAGGGTTCGGATTCGGGGTTTGGGTTCGGGTGGGGACTAGGGGTACGGGTGGCGGGGGTCGGGTTCCGGCGTCAGGGGGCGGCGTGTCGAAAGGGGGGGAGGGGGTTTCGGACACCCCACCCCCTTTTGAAAGGCGGGGAGGGGGGGGGGGGTTCCCCGACGACGGATCGGGGAAGGGAGGGAGGGGGAGGGGGGGGTTGCCCGACGACGGATCGGGGAAGGGGGGGGAGGGGGGGGGGGTAGGACCCCCCCCCCCTGGGGAGATCCAGCGGCGCACCCTCGCTGATTAGGATGATGATGCTGGTGGTGATGATGATGCGGCTGTTGATCATGATGATGGTGCTGCTGCTGATGCTGCTGCTGTTGATGATGATGATGATGATGATGATGATGATGATGCAGACGATAATGACAATGATGCTGATGGTGCTGCTGTTGCGGATGATGGTGATGGTTGTGGTGATGGTGATGGTATTGATGATGATGATGTTGATGATGACAACGATGATGGTGGTCATGATGATGACGATGACGACGATAATGATGATGATGAAGACGATGATGGTGATTCTTTTGATTCTGAGGAGGGGCAGGGAGATGACAATGAGGATGACGAGGAGGACGATGATTGAGGCGGCCCCTGGGATGATGATGATGATGATGCAGATGACGATAATGACAATGATGCTGATGGTGCTGCTGTTGCGGATGATGGTGATGGTTGTGATGATGGTGATGAGATTGATGATGATGTTTGTAGTGACGATGATGATGATGGTCATGATTATGACGATGATGTCGATGATGATGATGTTGAAGACGATGATGATGATGATTCTTACGATTATGAGGCGGAACAGGAGGATGACAATGAGGATGACGAGGAGGACGATGATGAAGGCGGCCCTTGGGATAATGATGATGAGGATGATAATGATGATGATGCTGCGGTTGATGATGATGATGATGATGATCATGGTGATTATGCTGATGACGATGATGATGATGATGATGGTGGTGGTGGTGGTGATTCCGATGTTGGTAACGATGACGACGATGTCGGTCTGGACGATGATAATGATGATGGTGATGATGATGATGATGATGATGATGATGATGATGATGGTGGTGGTGGTGGTGGCGTTGGTGGTGGGGATGACGACGACTACGACGATGATGATAATTATGATGATGATCATGCTGATAATGATGCGGTTTCTGATGATGATGATGATGATGCTTGTTGTGGTGATGATGCTGCTGATGATGTTGATGGTGATGTCGATGACGATGATGCTGCTGATGATCATGATGCAGATGACGGCAATGACAATGATGCTGGTGTGCTGCTGTTGTGGGTGATGGTGATGGTTGTGACGATGGTGGTGATATTGATGATGTGGATGATGACGACGATGCTGATGGTCATGATTATAACGATGACGACGACAATGATGATGAAGACGATTATGATACTTTCTACGCATGTGAGGAGGAGCAGGAGGATGACCATGAGGATCACGAGGAGGACGATGATGAAGGCGGCCCCTGGGATGATGAGGATGATACTGCTGATGATGCCTCTGCAGTTGATGATGATGATGATGATGGTGGTGGTGGTGGTGGTGATGACGATGACGATAACGATGACGACGACGACGGGCTGGATTGTGATGATGATGATGATGATGATGATGATGGTGGTGGTGGTGGTGATGGCGATGTCGACGACTACGACGATGATGATGAGTATTATGATGATGATGCGGATGATGATGATGATGATGATGATGATGATGATGATGATGATGATGATGATGGTGATGCTGCTGATGATGATGATGACGATGATGATGATGCTGCTGATGATGATGATCATGATGATGCCGATGATGTTGGTGGTGGTGATGATGCTGCTGCTGATATTGATGCTGGTGGTGATGATACAGATGACGACAATGACAGTGATGCTGATGGTGCTGCTGTTGCGGGTGACGGTGATGGTTGTGATGATGGTGGTGATATTGATGATGATGTTGATGACGACGACGCTGATGGCCATGATGATGACGGTGATGATAGTGATGGTGATGAAGACGATGGCTATGATTCCTACGATTATGAGGAGGAGCAGGAAGATGACAATGAGGATGACGAGGAGGACGATGATGAAGGCGGCCCCTGGGATGCTGATGATGAGGAGGATGATACTGCTGATGATGCTGCTACGGTTGATGATGATGATG